CTGATCCTTTTGGCAGGAGGTGTGGTACCATAAAGAAAGTCACAGACATGGATTTGGAGCTCCATCTTTCAACCAAAGAAAGTACTTTGATGTAATTTGGTGTCCAAGGTGGGAAAAAAAATATTCTAAAATCAGAAAACCTTTGAAAAGGCAGATCAATATGTTACTATGTATGCACATAATATTAACATAAATATATTTAGCTCAAGTTTACATTCACAAGCTTACACTGATACACAGGCCAAAACATTACAGTAGCAGTAACCATTGCAACATGTTTTGCATCACAGACCTAGAATCGGCATGATCAAATATGATGCCAGCCAGGTTCAAAACATTGCGTTTAAAGACTCTCTTGGGGAAAATCAATTTAATTTGCACAATATCATATTTGTCGCAGGGTGTGTTGTGTACATTTATCTCTACCTGGAAATGGGGACATTGCTTCAAGGCAAGGCAGAAATAACGTGTGATTTATCGACATTATACTACTAGCTTTATCTATATAGCTAAACTTCTGGTTAATGCACCAAGGTCCCAGAAGTCACTTCCCCTAATTAGTAACTTCACAATGAGTTTTTTTCATGATCTTATTTATTTATTGTTTGTTTCTTTGTACTTCAGTATGAGAAATATACAAACAGAAAAAGGAAAATAAGGTTGACACACGTTGCCGTGCCAGAGTATTTAGCTTTGCAGGCAACACTTTTCTTGCAGCTTGTAAACATTGGAAATATGACTAACGAATATGTGTCAGTAAAATGCTGTGAAACCGATTAGAAATGACATATAAAATCAGAATTCATATTTGGCTAAGGCTGGTGTCACTTTGTCGCTTATAAAGCATTGCAGACCAAATCAGTAAACTACCATTCTGTTCTCTTCAGTATATATTCTGCCACCGGTCTGTAGTCCTGAGGGCCGCTAAAGGTCCAGTGTGTAACTGGAAAACTGTAAGGAGGATCTATTGGCAGAAATAGTAGTATAATATTTTTTACACCATGTTTCTACAGTAGCCCAAAGACAACAAACCAAAGACTGGCTCAGGCCTTAAAATATCTCTCTTAGGAAGAACAAAGGCAGCTAGAACTTTTTTACAGACAACAGTATAGGCCTTTTTCACAGCAGACATTTTGACCTGTCACAGTAGCTTAACAGCAGCTTATGAGCAAATGTAAGCATGCTAACAAGTTGAAGATGGTCAACATAGTACACATTGTTTCCTGATAAACATCATGTTAACATTGTTATTGTGAACATGTTAGCATGCTGATGTTAGCATTTAGTTCAGCCACACATGAATCATGTTGGATACATCCAGCTATATTGGTTATTTTCCCTTCCATACAATCTAACAAGTATAGAGTGACACTGTCAGCAAGCCATCAACCAGCATGCATCATTCCAGGGTCCTGAAACCAAAGCAGCTAAATACAATTCATTCATTCAGGTGTTTTGGAGATAGGCCCTATCTTGAGACTAAAAGTCAGAATATTTTAGCCTATGCTGCTTTTATCTCCTTAAGTCTCCAAACTGTATTGAAGTGCAATACTAAATAATATAACTATAATTATAAAATAATATAAAATAACTGGAGTACCTCTTTAAAAAATGTCTGTACAACTACAGTTCAATGACTGTGTGTTATAGTTGAAAGCTCCAGAGCAATAGTAACTTGATCTTGAGTTTAGATTACTTAAGTTGTTTTATTACGAATGGTTTTAATTACAATTTAGTATTGTAATGTATCTTGTTAATTTATAGCAACCATCTATGACACAGCTTCTTCTTTTAGGTCTTTAATTCTTAACATGTTTTTTTGCTCTTGTCGTCCTCCTCTGTGCTCTACAGTCACTGTGGATTTTACATGTAGGTCCACTTTTATTGGCATCTGCTTGTTCACTGTATTTCACTGTACTAACATGGGAAAGTCAACAGTGGAAAGATATCAAACATTTATATGTCTGTTAAGGATTATTATACGCTGGACTAAAATGTATTAAAGAGCTTGAGCTATTTTACATCTCAGGTTTTCCGTAAGATATAGAAACTTAGATGGAATATTGTTACATTAACAGTATGTGTGTTTTTTGATACATCTATTGTACAAAAATTATAATTAGAGACAACATGAAGAATAGCACTGTGCAATGCTCCTTCAAAATAACTCATTATACATTCTGCTAAATTTAGCCGCAGTCAGAACAGGATTTCAGCAAAAATAGACTTTAAAAAAAGTACATGTACAAAGAAAGTATAGGCCTTCAGTGGAAACTTCACTTCCATGCTTTACTCAGGAATTGAAATGAGGATGACATTTGCAAGTCAGGTTTCAAGCTGCACCCATTCACATGCAAATACTGGACAAAAACAACATCCAGCTCTGAATCCCTTCAGTCTACAATCTGGGCCTCTGCCATCTTGGCCACCCCTTGTTTTACCATTGATGACTGAATAATTATGAATCACGTGATTTCCCTTCTCACTCTTATATAATGTCATAGGTGGAGATAATACTTCAAATCCAACCTAAATAACCACTGAATGTGAATGGGCAGCAGTTCCTCCAACCAGCTCTGGCCATAATAAAACATTTTTCCCTCCATGGCACCAGTAGCCTTGGTGCTGCTTCCATTCACTGGTCCGAGGAGGAACCTTTTGAAGCACATGGAGGAGGACTTGGCTGCGGGGACATAAATCAGGGTCAGGCTCTGCAGGCTCAAGTGAAATGTAAAACAGTTGACAGGAGGCAGGCAGGCAGCAGCAGGTGAAGCGTGAAGCCACAGTCGGGCTGTGATAACGCCCGGCCAGCGGGAAGCCATCAGCCGCTTCTCTCACTTGGCCGCTATTAAGTCAACGCTCACATTTCCAGCGGGCACAGAGCAGAGCTGCACTTCTCACGTTCACTTCATGGCTCATCCTGTCGTCCCCATCGCGCTGTTGGTGTTTGGACTTGTTGCGATCCTGCTCCTGACGATCCCCACGGAAGACGTCCGGGAGGCACCGGGGTTCATGGTAGGGTCGGTTCCATGCGTCGGGGGGTATTTTTGGATAAGCGTGTTAAGTGGTCGAGATGGTGTAACCGAAGCTCTGCTCTGCAGGGTGCACACTGGCAGCAACAAGGTGTTATACAGAATTATGTATGTGTGTAGGAGAGGATTATGGGACTGGGACATACTTGAATGTAGTTTATTCTTTATTTGCTTTTCTCCATGAAGTTTAACAATAGCATCCTCACAGTTAGTTTGATTGTCTCTGCTCAGCTTTTGGACGTTAACTCTATGGAAGTCCAGGAATGACAATATTAAAAGTCCAGGGTGGATCTATTGGTAGAAATTGATTATATTAATTAATAGGTATGTTTTCATTAGTGCATAATCACGTGGAAAATAAGGATTGTTGTGTTTTCCTTACTTTAGAATGAGCTTTTTTTTTGTCAACAAACACCCGCCTTCCATGTAGTTCGCCATGTTGAACCGCCATGTTGAACCGCCATGTTTCTACAGCAGCCAACAACTGACGAACCAAACACTAGCTGTAGATAGGAACATTTGTTAAACACAACATTGTCTTTGAGATCCCTTAAATGTATTTTACTGGATAACATAATGTTTTTCTGTGAAAGGACATCGTCCACTTCATAAAGGTTCATAAATGTCTTCTATGTCTTCCGGCTGACTGAATGCGCAAGAGGTTAGGGGCTGAATATATAATATGACAATAAATGGAATGTAATAAATTATTAACCCAAGCAGACTCTATGCTATCTACAGGGGTTCACATGTGAAAAGTCACATTAATGAACACTTCAATTTTGGGAAACCCATCACCTGTCTTGTAAGCTCTGATTTGATTATTTGCAAGTCGAAAGACATAAAGCTGTAAAAACTGGGCTGAAAGTCTTACAGATGTCCAGGTAACACATGGTTATTGTTTCATCACCATTTCATGATTATACATCAACATGTAAGTGTGACCTCATTCACAAGAACCCGTATGAAATTAAATGTGAACTGGACTTTTCATTTTCAAACCATCAAACAAACAGAATTTGTTGCCTGTGAAAACCCCAAAATTAAAAGGCTCCCTTTGTCTGTTTCTTAGTTTAGTATGTTGTTTGCCTATCATGAAAGTGACATTGTGATACATTTGCACTCAGGTGACCTCAGGGCTGAAATGCTGATAAACTGTAGTTACCTCATTGTAATGAAAAACTTAAACTGTGGAGAAACCTGATGAAGAGACTGCCCTTCTTTCAGAATGGAAATCCAGGTTTAATAGTCACCCAAATAAATAAATAAATAACAGGCTCTGCTGTCTAATAATTGCAAAAACCAAAAAACCATGAACCAAGAAACTTGAAAGACAAACTGTAGTGCATTGCTGTTTTGGCATTCAGAGCAGGATTGTTGCACAGATCAACTCCAGCTCCTGTTTCCTCAGCTCCCTCATTTTTGTGTTACCGGCTAAATATCCCATGGTTCCTTTTTCATCATAATACGGCCACCCTTTCACTCAATAACAATGCTGTCGAACAGTCACAAAAAAGGACACAAAAGGCTTTTTCTTGCAACAGTTCCCATAGTGTATTAAATGAAAGGACAAGGCAGATCATTAGAGCTCCTCTGTGTTTTTGGCCAGTGTTGGAGCGAGTCCTTACAACTGACTGCACAGCAGTAATGAGAAAATATTATGAGAAATATCAGGGCACACACTTTCACATGATCTTACTGTTCACCTGTTACTGTACTGATGTGAGAAGTTGTCTGCTCGCAAATGCCTGAGTGTGGAAGCATGAGCATGTGCATGTATCTATTTCTGCATGTGGATTTATGTCTCTCTCTCTGTGTGTGTG